GTGCACAATGGTTTCAATTTAGGAGGCATATAATAAAACCTTGGAGATTAAACCCCCATCATATGTGCAAGTGCCCAGAGTGTCTCATGGTAAAGGCAACTGCATTCTTTTCTAGAAAACAGGAATGTATACCAGCCTCTGCTAGAACTTCTATATTTTGCTAGTCAAATCATATAAACCACACTTTACAAGGTGGTCAATAATAATACATTTCTCATTTCTGAGTACCTGACTTTAGATCCTGGAATCTGCACTCATAACTACAAATCAAAGTCAAGTTGGATCTCTTGTTTGAACCTATGAACTGCTATACAATGCATGCATAGACTTACTGGGAGGGAGCTGCTCTCCACCACACTGCCTGTCTGCCACATGCATGTGTGTATACACGCATGCATGTGACACCTCCCGTGTCCCACTCCCCTCTACCCCAAGCAGCCCCTTGCAGGCGGGAACTCTGCCAGCCTGCAAGGAGAAACCCCACGGTTTCCAGGGATGTTCTTCTATAAAGGAGAAAATCCACATTTTGCTTCATTTTTCTGCAGAAAATGGAAAAACCTGGCCCCTGCTAAGGAGTAATCCCATAATATTCTAGCAGTCTAACAATATATTTTATTTCAGGACTAAATTTTACTTAATTATTAAAACTTCCTTTTTCATTTTTAGGTCTTGATCCTACAAATACTGACTTCTATTATGCATGTGAGTACTCTGAGCATGTGTCTGGGTGTTGAAAGATTGGGCTCATCATAGACATTAGGGCTGGAAGGGACCTCGTAAGATCATCAGGTCCAGCCCCCTGCCCAAGGGACAGGAAGTCAGGTGGGGTCAAAAGATCCCAGCAAGATATAAATAATCATAATAAATTGATGCCCATTTCATTGTCTGCTTTTTTGTGAAATAATCCCTATCTTTTCTGTTTTGCCTAGATTCCTATAATTATTTATAATTAAAATAACACAGTGGTGTTCAACCTCTGATCCATGAAGCCATGTCATCTTACACATGGAGCTCCCCATGGCTAAGTACAGACAGTCAAAAAGCCTGAGGTTGAATCAATTCAATCCTCACAGGTTAGTCTAAACTTTCAAAATGGCCAAAACTGGTTTTAGATAAACCTGGATGGCTTATCCATAACATCACCTTTGATTCCAGAAATGCAGCCACATGCCTGCAGTGGCCCAGGTCAGAAGCCACAGGGCACTAGAGTACATCTCGCTGCTCAGCTAGATCAGACACCTTGGGCCAAGGCTGGTCTACCACTCACCTGTGAGGGGAGATACAAAGCATCCAGGGATTTGGGACAGAAGTTCAATAAATCGATTTAACCTAAATCAGTTAAGTCTGATACTACACCCAGCCAGGTTTATCTTAAACCAGTTTTGGCCATTTTGAAATCAGTTTGTGTGTACTGAAGTTCTGTTGTGTTACAGATCTGAACCAGATTCCAATTGCTTATACCAGTTTATGTGCCATTTCTGTCCCTAGCTCATGGGTCTGAAAATCTGGTGGCAGGAGAATGAAGGCAATTAACACTGCCAGCACTCCCCAATCATGAAATGTCTAAACCCTGCTGGCCAGATGACATGGGGCTGGGGTCACAGGTGTGATCTAGCATGGGGCCTTATCCAACGTAAGGAGCCAGGGCCCAGCCTGGCACATAGGGCTGGGACCATTCTCTGGGCCACCCCCATGCATTGGATTGGGCTCCAGTTGGGACAGCTTCACACATTGAGTCATGCCTGCAGCCCTGGCTGCATATGCAGGGCTGTTATCTGAACTCACACTGCTCAGGGCTGAAAGGCTGGGCACCTACAAGACTGAAATGCTGGGCACTAGTGGTCTGATATGCTGTTCACTGTCCCAAGGGAAAAAATTCTGAATGTATTTGTTTGGAAAAGTAATGCTCATACACACTGCCTAGCAGGTCTTGGTAACTGCTGCTTATGATACTCAGCATAGGGAGCATATGAAAACAGAGAAGGCAGTTGCAGGACAGTTGAAAATCAAGTGGAATCAGAGTCAGAGATAAGTTAGAACTGTTAAATCCGGAGCTTTGGAAACAGTTGTTCTGATAAATAAGACCAAAATTCACATCAGGACTTCTTCCAAAATTCAAAAGCCAATTGAGGAGGTTTTGCAAAACCAAAAATCAACTTCATTTCTCCATCTGCCAATCAGAAGGCATTTTTCTGTGCTGTAATGCTTTGCCTTAAGAAGATTCATTTTTTCCCCATAAGGAGACTAGGACTTTTGCATCTAAAATATTATGATGTAACAAAATTAATGCAATCTCAAACCCAGACATCTCTGATGCGAAAATAAAAATAGACAAACTGCCTATATTACTCATATGCATGCCTTTTCACATTCATAGTAGGCTTTCCTGGCTGGAGAAACAGTTATACTCTGATGAACTTTCTACCATGACAAAAAGATCCAATGTAAATACACTGCTTTAAAAGACAGAGACCTGGCAGTTAAAAAACTAGCATAATATATTGCCGTCTCCATCTGAACAGCCTACTCAGATTAAGGAGGACCAATGAACATTTAAGGTGAAGGGAGGAGTTATAGGTTCTGGAAGACAGCAACATTCTTCATTGTGATTAGCTGCCAACTTCTGCCAAATAAAGAAAGAGATTCATCCCATATATTATATGAGGGGCAAGGAGGCACAGGCTTGAGAAGTGATTGAATAACAGGCAAGAGAGTTATTTTCCAAGTGCAAGAGACAGTAAACATACAAGGACATTAGTCCAAATAATGCAGTATACAGTTCTGATAGCTATAATACCCTGATCTCAAGAAAGCTAGAACATCTATTGTAGAAATCTAGCATGGATCATAAATATATATGAAATAGTTGCCAGCCTCTTTGCATAGGTTAAAAAAAATGACCCCCACAAGGCATATTTGCAATTGGCCAGGGTTCTTTCAGTATTCTAAACATCATAGGCCAGAACATCCTCCAGTGAATCAAAGACTTAGTGCTTAAGAGCTCTCAAGAGCACTCAATCAGAAAATACATTTACCATGAAATGTTTTATAATAATAAAGCTCTCAAGTTTTCCCTTTATTTAGCTACTTTCCTAACTTTTCCACATCTAAAATTTAGATTAAGATTAACCTTAATCCCACAACCACTGTTAACATTAATTTTTGTTGCAGTCACCTGGTATGTTATACATTCTAAAACAATTTAAAAGGCTGGGGTCAGAATGGAGCACTGAAAAAATTAAATATGACATTCTCTGGTGCTATTTATAGTCATTCAAATTGAAGGTGACAGTTATAGGAAATATGCTGTTTTCCTCCTTTGCATTTAATGCAATTGCAAAAATAGACACCTCAAGATCAATCATCAAAATTGCCAGAAGGCACCGGTGCTTTACTGAAAGTCCCAGAGAGGTGGTTCAGATCCATACTTCAGGAAAGAATCCTTGTACATCAAGGAGAGTTTTGACAATCAAAGAAATTAAACAGTACTCAGTGGAAAAAAAATAACCATACACTTTAGAGATGCCACTAGTAGTAATTTTCTTTCATTCTCCCTCTCTGCCCAACTCTTTGACAGTGTTAGAGCAGGGGTTTTCAACCTTTTTTAGTCTAAGTACCCCCGGCAGCCAGACAGAGCACAGGGCGGGGGAGTGGAGGGGGAGGAGTGCATGGCCAAACACTGAGCATGGTGGGGGAAGGGCAAGTACTGCATGGCTAGACATGGATCAGGGAGACGGGGATGGAGTGCCTCTGCCTCTCAGGAGGAAGGCCAGAACAGGGTGGGGAAGCTCAGCAGGCTGGGGTGAGGGCAGTAGCTCCCCTCTCGGGGTGGGGAAGCTCACTGGGCTGGTGTGTGGCAGCGTGCATGCTTCCCCACCCTGCAGAAGGGCACCGCTGCCCTTGCTTTGCCCCAGCCCTGCTCCTGGGAGGCAGCAGCACTCATCCCCACCCACCTGTGCGTACCTCGTAGGACCGTTCCAAGTACCCCCAGGGATACGTGTTCCCTCAGTTGACAACTCCTGTGTTAAAGTAATATTGTAGCCATGATGGTTCAGGAATTACGCAAGAGGCATGGATTTCTTAAGGTGATATCTTTTAGTGGACTAACTATATCCCAGCTATGCCAGTGATTCAATAAAAGATATCACCCTAAGAAATCCTTCCCTCTTGCAAATCTCTCTGCAAATACCTGCCCACAGAGTGTTTGTAGCTTATTGCCACAGTGTGTAATAACTAGACAAACTAGTTTAAAAGAATGTGGTAGCTTCAAGCCAATGGTCTGAATGAATATTTTACCCATTCTGTTGCTGCAATGAGCATGAGAACATGCATTGAAGATCCAAAGCAACCTTTTAAGATTTTTGCTTGTACCAATGGAAAGCCTGTATTTGAAAAAAAAAAAAAAAAAAAAAAAAAGTCTATGTTTCCAATCAATAGGATCCGATACCCGAGAACTCAGCCAGGAAGTAGTTGGAGGGTTGCTAGAGGCACAAACACACTGAAATGAGGAGAGGCAGTTATGGATACAGAAAGATGCGATGACATGCCTAGCTTATTTCACATACTGCATCAAAAACTCTAAGCCTAGTCTTGACTGCTTCTTCTGTGACATGATTCCTTTGTGATATCAACATCCAGCTCCAGTTCTTTCTGACAGCAGATAAGACAAACATTATCTCTTTGTCATCAGGTGAAAAAACAAAAAATCTAAAAGATCCAGACAAGTAAGCAGCTTTCTATAGGAAGTGTTAAGTGAGTATGATTTAAATAGTACTTATTGGTAATAACATTACAGTTCATATTGGTTTTGTAATATGCTGTATTCAGGTAGTTTGGGGGCCTTACTCTTAGACCACAGCTCTGCAGCACTGCATGAATAAACACAACAAGAACACAATCCTTGGTTTGACTAACTTTCAATATAAGTGTAAGACAAGACAGAAGATGTGGTTGTGACAAACAGAGGAGGGTAACAAAAAGCAACGAGACATGCATCCTACCAAATTAATAGGGTTCAAGTCAACATCAAAGAAAGTTGGTATGATGGATCTTCCTTGAAACTTCCATTCAGTATAGTCAGGGATGTAGAAGTAGCAGAGCCACGGCTTGCTCAGCCACATAAAACTGGATGAAAAAAAGGGAACATATTTGCCAAAATAATGTGTGAGAAAGATGTCCCCTTTTCAGCACCCCCCCCCCCCCAAAAAAAAAAAAAATCGCCGACTTCTCTACAGAGAAAGGGAAATACTAAGAAACCACATTGCAGATGTACAGCAAGAGAACTTTTAGGAGGTATTGGCATATCATGGAGTCACTGACTCTCCCTGTTGACAGTCTTGTGCGGGGCAGCTCTTCACTTCACCATGCAAAAGTCATTACATGATTGCTTCAACTAAACTTGCAGATTTCCCAAAGCTGTGGTGGAAAAATATCACAGCACTGACTATAAGTATATCTAAATATCACAGGGTGAAATGTGTGGGCTGGTCCTCAGAATTCCAGCGTTGGTGGGCCTTTTTCTGGGTAGCAATGAGCTGAATATTTTGTTTCCACGTATTTAGTACACAACAAATAGCACAGCACTGTCTGTTATTTTCTCTCTAGCACTATAAAGGGATATTTTTCAGTTCATGCATAATTCACAATTTACAACAACGATACCACAATGACAGAAATTCTCTTTAACACCAAGAAAAAAAAATAAGAAAATGTTGCTATCCTTGATTTAAAACTGTCACGTCACGCTGGGCACAGATTTTATTTTCACATCACAAGCAGCACTGACACATACTTCACAGAAAAAAAAAATGCAATATATGTATTTTAAAATTTGCCAACTTTCTAAATATTAGCTGCTCTTTAAATCTCAGTACAATTGTACTTTTGGAAAAGTTTGATATTTGAACTTATTAACAAAAAAGTACATGAAGAAAAATAATATATATTCTGGGTGCGTTAACTTTTTGGGGTTTGTTTAATTTTTGGAAAACCAAGAGCATAAAATGAATGTTTGTTTTTTTTTCTGAAAAATCTCTATTTTATCTGGACTCAAAAAAAGCTGGGACAGGGTGCATCTACACAAGATGTTTACTGCACAGTTGACTAATTAGCTCTTCAATAGTCTCAGCATCTGCACGTGTGACCCTATTAAGGCACAGTAAACTAATAAATGCTGCTTTAGGTTAAAAATTGTGAACACAAGTACTATCCTACAAAAGCATTTAGTACACTGCAACACGCATGTAGATGCTGACAGGGCTTGTTGGGGCATGAAGGTACTACAATCCAGGGCTGCCTGTCAGCTAGCCCCACACTGGAGCACCCTTGTGCCCCAGCCAGCCCATCCACAGCATGTTGAGCTGGGTCGGAGCAGCCCCAGGCTAGTAGGCTGGCCCTGGGCCCCCTGCCAGCTGGGGCTGCTCCGAGCCAGCTCAACCTGCTGCAGTGCTGGATGCATATGTAAATGCAGTGCCCAGGAACAATAAACTCTGGCACGATATGCTCTGGAGCTTACTGTGTTGCATTAATTGTACATGTAGATGTGCTCACATTCTAGAATCACAGGATGCACTGATTACAGTGCCCTGTTTGCTGAACAAATTTAAAAGGAACATACTTTAGTTCTAGTCACACAGAACTGTTTCACTATATCATAACAAATTACCTCAATTGCTCCAACATAAACTACCAAGCTAAATTCAGCTACTTCATTCATGTATTTGATTAACAAGTAACTTATTTGAGGAAAGATGGGAGGAAATTATTTTTAAAAATAGTTTTAATTAATACATTAGCTAAATCCTCAGCTGGTATAAATGATCACAGTTTTCACTGACTTAAATAGAGATATGCTGAGTTACATCAGCTGAGGATCAGGTCCAACAGCACAACTGCCACAACACAGAACATTCTACACCTCTGCTATATTCCTTTTATATTTGTCACTCCCCCTTCTAATACTTAGATAGGAAAATAATCTTTTTATCTTCAGCAAACCTGTTCATCTTTTTTTTTTAAAGTTAATTAAACCTACCACATGTATCCTATAATTTACATTTGGGAGGTTTGTGTTATACCTATATTTTGTGGAATTTTCTTTATCGATGAACTATGGCTTTCACAATTGAAACTCCCGGCCTAGTAGCGCATTAAAAACTTCATTTTTCAAACACAAGGGAAAACAAAAAAGAAAAAGTGAAGCTTCCTAGTTTGCATCTTCCTAGCTATAATTTAGGAAACATCTACATAATTGAGTTACGTTGTGTGGTTAACACATTCCTCTGACAGTCACAAATAATAGGAATGATGACCAGTATTATTAGTTCCAGTACAAACATTTGATGACCATATTATTTGTGTTCTCCATACTTTTATCAGAAGATTCTAGGAAAAATCTCATCAGGTATCCTACACTGGGCATACCTACATGAGATGCTTTACTGTACATTAGACTAATCTAATATGCAGTAAAGCATCACTATCTACATGTGCACAGGACTTACTGTGCAGTAAATAAGACTAATGTGTGGTTGTAGTATCAAGAAATACAGGCACTAGATTAACTGCATTGACTATTGTGCGGTAGCGCCCATGTAGACGCTGCCTGGGAACAATTTGCTTTCAGTCAGCCTAAGCAGCAGGAAGCCACATGGGGAAAGGGAGAAGCTGTCCACATCTCCAAAGTAGTGCTCACAATCACAGCACTGCTTGATGGTGCTGGCTCAGGGTGATGCCCCATGGCTGAGCGGCAGCAGCACCCTGGGCTCTCTCTTCACTTGGATTGCTGAGGGAACAGGGGAGCTCTCTGTCCCTGGTCCTAGTGCTGCTCAGCTCCTGGCTCCTCCCAGGTACGGGTGTGGAATGAGAATCAAATGGAGCATGTGCTGCATGGGCAGCGGCAGGGCTGAGGGGATAGGAAAGCTCTCTGTCCCCAGCCTGCAGAGTGCTACTGCAGCTCAGCAATGCAGCACTGTCCCAGGCTAGTGCCACCAAGCCAGGCTGTGATCCCAAGCTCCATGCAGCTGGAAGCTGTTCTAAGACAGATCTCAGATAGCTCCCCTCTGCTCCCTGGAGCCCAGGCCTGATCCCCACCCCTCTTGCCAGCCCGGGGCTGGCACTAGGGGACCCTGGAGCTCCCTCTAGCTGCTTTAGGCAGGACAAAGGGCAGAAGCAGTCCTGACTCAACTGGTCCTGCAAATTTCCTAGGAGACACAGGTGCACATGTAGACGCGTTCCCGGGCACTGTTTACTGTGCCTTCTTTTAATGTGCAGTAACCTTCAGGCACATTAATTGTATATATAGATGCACCCACTGTCTGTTGTCAGACAAGGATAGAGGATATAGTTTCTCATTGTGTAGCATGATTTCAAAATGAAACTGTACTGAAGACAGTAGGATAAGCAGTTGATTCACTTACAGATATATAACTAAACAATCCTATCTAAACAGAAGAACTGTGCTTGAACCTGGATACAGCTGGCAAAGTCACAACTCTAATCATAGGCCATGTCCCCAAATGCAGACATGCGTGGTTTGTGGCACCATAAACCTCTTTGTGGCACCACAAACTGCATGATAGAATGTTAAAACCTGTCTTGCATTGCAAATTAGTGGGGGGGGGGGGGGGATTTGTACAAGCATAT